TGAGAGGTGCTGCTGTGAGTGCTCAGCACCAAAAAGGGAGGCTCGCAGAGCCTTCTGTTAGGTGCTTGTGCAGGAGAAGGGGCTTTCTTAATCCTCCTATTGCTATATGCTGGTTACAAGATAGTAAGGTGAGTTAAGATGACATAAGAACATCATTGAGTTTTAATGAATTTGGAAGTCATAGCACAAAAAGGGTGTCTTGGAGAGGAAATTGTTGTAACTGCTAGGAACAGAAGTGGGAAGATGATTTTCCTTCTGAATGGCGACATTTTCAAATGCAGCATCCCAGTTTCATTTCACTGTATTCCTGTTCTGCTGAGGTATTTATTTGTGCATCAGAGAGCAGTAATATCGAGCAGATTGCGAAGTCAAGCAAGAAGGACTTAGACAAGATGCTGGGGCTGCTGCTTCCAGCACAGAGAAGATGTTAGCTGAGTTCCTAACAAGGCCAGTTGTGGATTACAGGAGCAATCCAAGGGCTGAAAGAAAACAAGTCCTCAGAAATTACCAAAGTCACCAAAACAGCAAAACATTGTGCTACAGCATTAGAAATCAAGGCCTTCTATAACATCATCTCCACCTATACATAGCTACCCAAACCAGCACATCCACCCTGCTAGTGTAGGCTGGGACTGAGACCTTGTGTACATCTCAGCTCTTATTCCCTCCAGTGCACATAAGTGTGGAGAATCCTGGCACTACTGGAAAACTGCAAGATGAGTAAGACCCACAGGAGGGAGACCATGAGTGTAGTGCTGGTCCTAGCCTCCAGCCCAGGGTGCCTACAGCAGGTTGCCCCAAGTCTGCCAGCTCTTACATACGCTTACCTGACAGCCACATGAATGGATGGCAAAATGCTTACCTTGCCCCATCATCAGGGCATAGCCGAAAGCAATTGGTAACTGGTCCAGTGGATATAAAATAACAAATGACAAAGGAGAAGTCTGTTCCAGTATGGCAACTCCCAGGTGGTACAGCTTCATTAAAGTTAATTTTATTAAATAGCTGCTGGAGGATTACCCAAATGGTGGTGAAGCTTCTCCTTCTAACACAGGCTAAAGAGTCATACAAGTTTAAGAATCCTGAAAATACGGATCCTCTTCCTTCCCCTTGTGATTATTGTTGCTGGCAGGAGGATGTTAAATGCATACCACCACTTGCTGAGTATGAAGGAACCCTGTAACCCAGGACCCAACTGTTCTGCAAGAGACGCCCTACAATCCAGCGTTCCTGCAAAGTCCCAAACTTCCTTCAAGTTTTCCACCAAAACACATGATTTGTGAGAACAAGTGCCAGATACTTTCAAGAAGTAGTAGTCGTGGAGCTGCTGGACTCTCCTAGAATCCAGTGGGTATCATCTTATCTATCCCAGTTATACTTGCTGCTGCTGAGGAACCCGTGGCTGGCCCCAGAGGTGAGCCAGCTTGGATGGGGGAAAGGTTAGGTGAGCTCAGACACTGGGAGAGACCAGAGACCCCAGGGCAGTCAAAATGTGGCCTGTTAAGTGACTACACAGGTAGTGAGTCCTGCCCCATGGTTGTCAGTAGCAGATGCCATCACCCAGTATCTGAAACTGTCAAGTAAGGTGCCTCATTGCAGCTGAATAGATCGTGTTCCACTGAGACTGTAAACTTCAAGAAATTTGCAGGCAGAGCGTGCTATTTTTTTTGTTTCCCTGCAGCCACCTCTATAGAAAGGGACTCTCTTGTGTACGGAAAGAGACTCTTTCATTTGCTGTTGCTATGTTCTGCATCCATGCAGACGTGCAGTAGTCCCCCACGCACCACTGGCATTTCAGCTCTGACGCAGGGTCTCTTTTCAGCAGGGAGCTGAATGCCACACTCTTGCTTCGAGGTTTTCTTGACACTTATGAGTCATTTGTCCTTCGCTGACCTCCATGAGGGAATCTAGCCGACCAGGCTGTGCTAGCAAAGCCATCAGCCTCCAGAAAGTAAAAGCTGCACCCGTTCAAGAGAAACACTCCTGCCTCTAGTTGTGAAACTCTCTGCTAGAATCAGTATCTTCCCCCACCACCAAGAAAGCAATCAAGGAATGGATCTAGTGTTGTTAACCCATCTCATCCCTTTCTGATCCCGAGTGGATTCATGGTCATCTCCCAGCATGGACAGATGGAAACAACGGCTTCTTCTTGGCTCCTTTTTCTCTCTTCCCAAGTATTCTTTTACATTTTACAAGCTTTCACCAAGACACGGGGAATATCTCAGACCAGATCATATCATGGTTATTGTGGCCTTTCACCTAGGACTGTCCAGCCTTAGCCTGGGCAGGCTTAAACCCAGGAGCCACCACTCAGACCAGCAAACCCCCACCACCACCCCATGTCCCGACGCCACTGGGCTGCCCATGGGGCCGCTGCCAGGGTAGGTCAGCCTTGACCATTGCGTATGCCCGGCCAAAGGCAGTATGCTCCACTGGCTGAGCCCATGCCCTCTCTATGTCCCATCCTTGTGGCACTGGGACAGGAGCCATTATGCTCCACAAAGCCCTTTTTCCCCCCATCCGAGGCTATTCCTAAATTCTCCAGTGTCTGCAGACATTGCATAGCGCAGAATCTCTCCCATGCCAGCCTCCCTCTGACCTGGTGACTGGTACCACAGCCTTTTGTTTGGTACCAAAGGACATGGCTGCAGAGAAGGAAGATAAAGTCCTGGCAGTGGCACATCTCCCCTTCGTCAGGAGAACCCAGGGAATTTGCCAAGAGACAAATGAGTCCTAGGCACCTGGCAGCCAGCTGAGCAGATGAGTCATTCGGGGAGCTGGGGCTAACAAGAGCTACGTGCATATTTAATGCATCCCAGGGTTCCTGCCTGCTTTCAAATTGTGCACGGATGTTTGTTGAAGCTCTGGGGATGTTGGAGCCTCAGAGACACAATTCAGCCTCCTGAAAGTAGGAGAAGTTTGACTTAGATACTTATCTCAGCGCATTTGCGTCATAAACATCTCTGCTGTGCTCAGGCATTAAACACTCCAGGCTGGGAATGTCTTGGAGAGAGACAGAATGACCTTTCTGGCAGTGGATGGTCCTACAGAGATCCACTGCTGCTTCATCACTCGCCCCATAAATGTGGTAGCAATTCAGCCAGGAGGCCTCAGATGCTCTGGTAAGAGGCACAGCTCCCTCTGCCCCCCATGCACGAGGCTGGGACTCTCAGTGGAGATGAAAGCCCTGGAGCAGGTGGTTGAATGTGGGGAATACCCCTGAGAGCGGCAACCCCACAGACAGAGGAGCTGATGTCAGGGCAAAGGGGGAATGTGGATGCAGGGGTGGTCTGAGATTTGTCTTCTCTATTGCACAAGCATTGCAGTGGCAGAGTTCAGAGCTGAAGGGAGCAAAATGCTCAGCCTGTACATGCTGCTGCCTGCTGGGATGGAGAGTGCTTGCAAACATTTTTTTTTTCTCTTTTATTTGGGCACAAACACTGGGCAATATGGGTGACTTCCATGCTACGAGATAAGGCGTGCACTAATTTAACAGGAAGAATTTGACACCCAGCACTTAATGGCTAACAAGGAATCCAGCCAGCAGGGAGCTTGTGATCCTGCTTGGCTGTGAAATTCTCCCATGTGGACTCTCTGGTGTGTAATAAGCTGGCTGAGCTCATCCAGCAGAACACAGTGCAGACCTTCACTCAGGTCTCCCTCCGTCCCCTTCCTACACTGCTTCCACAGGTACTGAAGATCCAGTTGTCACAGCACAATCATGAGCTGTGATTCCTTGGGTAAACTAGGTTAAAAAGAAAAGAAAAAAACCCAAACAAAACAAAGTATTTTTAAAATTGCTGCTTGTGATGAGCCTGCAGGTTGGTCTTTCAGAAATAGTCAACACTTTCCATTCTGCGGCAATCTGTGGAGCTCCATGGTACAGACGAGGTCAACACGAAACACTCCCAAAGCAGGAGGGCTGAAATCCTCCAGCATGTGTTTAAAAATAAACAAAGTACACTTCCCTTTTGTAATGCATAGTGCATAATTACCTGGTGGAACTCATTGCCGCAGGACCATGTGGAGGACAAAAATATAAGCAGGCTTCTGTGCACGGGCATTATATACAGCAAGTCTTGTCAAACTGAGGATGGTTAATGCTTCATCTCAGGGTATCTGTTCACTGGCCACACCACCCTCTTGGATTTTTACTTCTGTTGTCTAATTTAAACCTCCCAAGCCACAGATTGTGGTTGTTGGTTACTGTCTCACTGTCTTCCACTGTTGAGAAGAGGTTGAGTCTGTCATCTTTGTACCTCACCATGAAGCAGCTGTAGATTGCTATCAGTTCATCCCTTAGACCCCACTGTTGAGACAGCTTCTCCATAAGTCCCAACCTTACCAACTTCCAGAGGATCCTGTGCATTGAGTCCAACTAAGCCTCGCTCCTCAAGAAGGCAGAAGGTTCCCAGTAGAGCTGTTGTCATCTCCTGCCTCTGCACCACACAGTGGTCTGTGCCTGCGGTTCCTGACTGCAAGAAGAGGCTGCAAGATTGATCCCAGGAACCACACACCTTTGGAAAAAGCAGTGAGCGAAACTCATCACCATGCATCACTGGAAAAATCCCTTCATGTGGGATGCTGGTGAGAAGTCTGCAAGGGGAGGATGCAGACCAGCACCGTTAGCCTATGTCAAGCTGCTTTCTGAGATGCAAGCTGAGGTCTCAACATGGCATTGAGATCCATCAGTGCTGCAGCTCTCAGGGGAAATCCACTCTTTAAGTTACCCTTGGTGCTTTATAGTGATGCCTGTTTTACTACAGATGAATCAGGGAAGAATGAAGTACAGCAGGCTTATTAGCATTTCTTTAATTGGTAACAGAACAAAAGTATTTTAACTTTTACTGATTATTTCACATAGAAAATATTGGAATGATGTATCAGATGGTTTTGTGTCCGTTTTGCTCTGTTTTATTTCCATGTAAAAATATACATCTGGTACACAAGATTAAAAAAAATAGATTTTTGCAACAAAATAAGTGCTTTGAGCACTAAAAATTCACTTGTGCACTTTAATGTTGGCCTAAATATTTACATTTTTTAGCCACAACCTCCCTACCCCAAAAGTGGGCAAACCCCAGATTATAAATATCAGCTGTGCCTAGTATACAAAACTTTCCCAGAAAAAGGACAGGAAACACAAACGTAAAAATGCTGTGGCTCAGACAATTTGATTTTAACTTCCCAAAAACAGTAAAAAAAGAAAAAAAAAGATGTCAACTCTTGTCAAAAGAAAAATGGCACAGGGAACACAACACTAGTTTATCGGGCATTGCAAGCAGAAGGGGAAGAAATTTTGAGGTGTGATACCTTTCAGGGGAATAGTGGCACAGACCAGGTAGCAATAGTGTCCTTTCAAAAGGTCAAAAAGGTTCAAGAAAGACTGTTCCTGCCTTTTTGGAAGAACAGGGTAGATTAGATGTCTCCTGAAGTCCTTCTCCACCTGATTTACTATGCTGTAGGGTTGGATAATGGAAACCCAACAATTTCTACAGCCAGCATCTGCTGATCTTGAGCCAAGACAACATGTCAGGAAATGCTGACGTGCTGAAAATGTTGTTTCCCCCACTTTCTGAGTCTTTCTCAGGTAGACTGTGCTGATCACACTGAAAAGTGGCCTAGTTCACCTCCTCTCTCATGGGGCCGCCTTGCCATTAGTCCAAGCAGTGTTGGATGCATCTTAGAACATTGTGAAGTCCCCTCAGCCAAGTGTGAAAAATCCCTTGGGGAGAAAAAGGGTCCCTTTGGTAAAGCATGACTTAGGGCAGAAGAAGAGACGTTCATAGCTCATGGTTAGAAACAGTACATCAGCAACTAACCACATGAAGGCAGTTGGGATCAAATGTCACCAGCTTTGCAGAGCTGATCTCAGATGTTATCATAAACCCACTGCACCGGGGAAAGGTAACAGGCATTGCTCGGTAGCCAAGGTCACGCCTGCTCACGGGGCAGGAATCACTAATAAAACATTTGGAAATCAGTGTAGCCGAGGACAAAACAAGAGGAAAGGTAGCTGAAGGGATGTTATCAGACATGGGATTGAGTCTTAGAAACCAGAGTGTGCAAAAGTCAACCAAGCTTGCCTTGTTCTCCAGTAAGTCAGTGGCTTTCTAAGACAGGAACCATACAACAGAGGCTGGGATCTATTAAAAAAAAAATATATATCTGATGCTTGGCAAGCTTAGAATTTGGCCCTGGCCTGAAGAGGCTCTTCTGCAGTGTTCATAGTTCATTGAGTTGAAATGCCCAGAGCGGGTCCTTGGGAAGAGGTCTCCCACCACAGGATGTCTTGTCCCATTGGACTCCGAATGAGCCAGCTGAGTTCGCCTGCCAAAATGTTTCAGTGGCAGATTCGTTCTGTCATTTCTTTCTGCATCGAAGGGGGAGAGAAGAGAAAGAAACAGTAAGTGCAAAAGGCAGGTTTTAGTAGGGTGACATGTCAGGCAGTTTGGTAGGTGTCCAAAACCAACCCAAGGAAGCGACCGTGGGAGTCTTGGGGAGCATCCCTCTATTTCCCACGCCAGCCTCCTGAGAACTGCTCTGCCTCAGCAGCTCCTTCCTGGCGTCCTCCTTGGTCTCTGTGGCACAAGGTTATTTTGGCCGTGCCCTAGCTTTGCGAGCGAGTCCAAGGGAAGAGCATTGGCTGAGATGTTGAAAGATGCAGGTCCTGCCTCTGACTTGGCCACAGAGCAGCCAGGTGGTGCCACTCTCAGAGCCCCTGTTTGTGACTGCTTAGGGAGGTGGGACAGGGAGCTGCTTCTCAGAGCTGCCGGCTCTCACTCCGGGAAGTGACAACAGCTCACCCGAAGGACCTGTGGTTTTGGCAAGGGATCCCGTGGTCACGCTGCAAGACAAATGAGTGCTAATAATAGAGGGCCACAGGAAACCTCCTGCAAGAGCGAGCTCTGTTTAGGCTGACTCTTTTCTTTCGCCAGGATGGCGTTGTGCCAGCTGCATTATAGGAAGGTGCCCAGCTTTCAACTGGTGGAAGATGGTTTTTGTCCTTGCCTTGCGGAGCTCAACTAATGGCTTGCAAATCATCTACACCGCTGCAGCAAGGCAAGTCTCTGGCTCGTGAGGTCCATGGCTTCTGAATCTGCATATGCACACAGACCCTTTCACACTCCCAAAATAGATCTGAAGTAGGACTGGTCTGCAGAGAAAGAAGGATGCAACTCTGGAAAAAGAAGAACTAGGAAAGTAGGATGACCCTTGAGTAACCCTATAAAAGGCCCTTTAGTCCTATAACGAAGGGGGACAGAAGCTGCAAGCTCAGCTCTTCAGTGCTAAGGGCTTTGTTTTTAAAATCTGCCATGGGAAGTGGCAGAGAAGGCTTCTCTGTAGGAGTAACATGCAAAATGACTCAAGTGTAGAACCCTGCCATCAAATGAAAAGCCGATGCTCTGCCACAAAATCATGTTGCAAACAGGAAGTGTTTGCAAACATCCCAGAAGGAGAAAGAAGAGGGCGGTGGGAACACTGTGAACAGCCTCTTGCAACACATCCAGCCCACCCCACTAGCACAGCACCACGCACAAAGGCAGCCTGATCAGGATGGGTTGGGGCGGCCAGTGGACTGCCAAGCCGCTGTGAGCTCCTCAGGCTGGGCCCAAATGTGCAAGGCATTCATCACACTCTGGAAATCCCCACAGCTCTGCCTTAGTACATAACCAGCTGGACCTCTGCCAATGCTGCTGCCCAGCACCACGACCCGGCCTTCTCAAGGAAGCAAGTGCACAGCTTCCCTCCGCCCCCATATTTCTTGGTTTGTTAAGAGAGTGAATCGCTGCCTTTCACTAGTTCTGCCTGTACAAAGGATCTGTCTCATTCTCAGCTCCCAAGATTTGCTGCTAAGAAATCACATCCCAAAGAAGCTTGACAAAAGGGAAACTGAGGCAGAAAGGGAGATTCAGCAAGAGGCAGGCTTGGAAACCAAGAACTCCTTCATCCCACAATCCCTG